GAATGTTTGTGCAAAGCCTGTTAAACAAACTTACTATTGCCGTACCGTCGCCCACACAATTGGAAATAATTTCCTTCTTAATAAGCAAATCCAAATCGCTTTTGGTATCTATAAGAGAGTCTAGTAGTTCAACATAATCACAGACAGGAGTATTATCAGAATAGCGACATTGCTCCAAAACCATTATGTTTTGAAGTATAGTTTCTGTCTCGTCGTAAACTTTTAACTGTGGTATTATCAACTTGTGTCTTTCAAATTTTATGTCAAGCAAGCATTTCCTTGGCTCATCAGCACGTTTGAATTTCACTCCTGATTCACGTAGCTTCACGGCCCTAGGCAAATCAACATCATCAAATCGACGATCACTTAACTGCTGTAACCTCTGTTCAAGGTATCTTTCCACCAGAGCAGTTCTTTGCAAATCGGTGAAATGCTCAAAGTTTGCTTCCTTAGGTACAGTACTACCATCAAACAAATGCTCCTTGAAGAAAGTAAAACAAAGACCTATGAAGGAAGGACTAGGGCTACTGGCAACTAACTCGTATAAATTCTCAAGTAAAAAATATGAAAGTTGATTTCCAGTAATTGGAAGTCCAACTTTAAAGCAATTTTTTGTGCTGGTATACTTAACAAAGAGTCACTAGCATCATTACCATTCGTCCGGAGGAGCTCTATGACAAAAATAGCATCACGTAGAATCATCTTTACATACTCATGACTCTCAAGCTTACAGGTCTCTGCATAACTATTTCGTATACGTTTCTCGTGGTCTTTGACAAAGGCTAAAACTTGCTTACGTTTCTCATCAGTTGTTCATTTGAAAAACTCTCTTACATATCTCCCTTTTTGCTTTTCCATGAATTCTAATTCTTTCTTAGCATAGTGAAAAGGGCCTATTGAAACTATTTGAGGAGTGTAGGCTTCTTCGTTTACTTTAGGAATATGTATAGGGACTCTATAAATACAACACTGATCAGGATCCAGCACAAAGTCTTCTAGAATGTCAATTAGCTAATCTTTGTACTGATCCCACTGGAACTCTCCGTTAATGGAAGAACGCATCGCCATGTTTCTATTGTAATACATCATAGTTAATAATAAAACGGACAATGATAAAATTAAACCTCAAACAAAGATCATTTTGTATTTGATATTAATATTAATTAGATTACACAGATAGATAGATAGATTGTTTGAGCATATGTCCAATATATACTAGGAATTAATTTAAGCTCCCCTATACATTCTAATTACTCTAAACCCCCTGATTTTCTAAATTTTTTTATAATTATTAAGGGTCAATGATTTACACCCCCTTCAAAGTCCAAAAACTTTGCTTAGACCCCAAAAACTCTAGACACTACCACATAGACTGGAAAAATATGGGAGTTGACTATTTTTACTAAAGACAATTATGATTTATCCTAATCATATCTTCAACTTCACTATTTTACTATAAAATTTGTCAACAGCTCATTCTTAAATAAAAGAAATTAAATAGAATTTAAAAATTCTTTAATAATACAAACCTTAACCTAAAATAAAAAATATTTAAATAAAGAGAATTAAAAAGTTTAGGAATAATAAAAAAAATTAAAAACCTCAAAAAAAAAAGGCTAAAATCTAAAAAATATCTGCCAACATTGGCCTCGATGGCTACAACTGCTTTCTTTTCACTTTTTTTTTTTTTTATTCTTCGTGGTTTTCTGTCTAGATCGTAGTGGTGTATTTCCTAGATTTCAAACCTTTATGGACTGGTGCATAATTTATCATGACACTTCTTTAATCTATACAGGTGGACAAGCTCATCCACCAATAGTTCGCCTAACTCGGCTATTTGGTAAGTTATTTACATTCTTACAATGATTAAATACGAGTTCCCGGTGAGGTAGAGGGGAGCATTGTCGAATCTTCTCAACATGTCAGTAATAAGGAAATGAGGTGGGACGGACATTCCACACCTCAGAAGGACGGTAGAGATCAACACCCAACCCCTAGGGGATCTTTTTGGGAAATATTTCTCGGAGCCATCAATGGGAATCGAGTAGAGTCGAGCCGCATAAATATCCTTTGTGTGCTAGAGATCCTCGACACTAATTGAGGAACTCAGTTCTTTCCTAATTCTATGGACTAGTGAGCCCCTTGGTGGGGGAAGTTCGGCAGAAGCTACATCCGAAGAGCACGTAGCATCGCTGTCCGAGTTCCTTACAATAATATCCTTAGAAACCTCTTCTGGGATTCCTCCCCCGCGAACAACTGAGGTCTCCGGGGAGCCAGCCTAAAAAAGGTGATCGATGTTGTGACTGTTGACAAAGACATGGTGGTAGCACACTTCTGGATACCTAAAACAGAAGTAACCAAGTGTCATAGATCAAACTATCGACAACTTGTCCACACTTGTTTTCAATTCAAGCATCTAAGATAGCTCACACTAACCAAGAGATGTGAGCGAGCTATCAAGATTCTGGCGGCCATTTCCCTAAACACTCCTAAAACCCAAACCAATGGGTATACTCAAAAACCCCAAAAAATAATGGCCACACTTAACAACCACGAAAGCTTGAAAGAAAGAGAAGAATGAGGACAAGAGCATTACTAGAATATGAAACGCAGTGAGAACTCACCGAAAGGTCACCATAACGATTTGGGGTGAAAACGATTTTTGGCAAGTATACAATTCTGGTGAAAAAATCTCGTTTATATAGTGGTGAACATGGGAGGCGAAAGGGCAGGATTCGACTTAAACCATCAATCTGCGACGAATCTCAACCCTCCATTTGTCGAGTAATCTTTATCGCTCGACGTGTCCACGTGTCAATCATCCACAAAGGGCGATCAACTGTCAAAATTCTACACTCATAACCGTCATCGCACGTCACTTAGACTTTGCGCATGGACAGTTGTAGTTGCCCACGCGCGATGAAAAGTAACTAAGCCGGCTGCATCATATGCCCTTCATTTCAAATTCCAAGTGTATTAAGAATACCACAACGAAAGCAAAGTCTTGTTCACGTTGACTGAAGCTAAGGTTGACTCACGAAGCTCGACCAAAGCTACAGTCAGCATGCAACTCAAGAAGTTTGAGCTAAATGTCAAAGGAGGCAATTAGTCTTCGAAGCTCGAAACGAGCATCGAACAGTAGGGGTAGATGTTGTGTGTGATTTTTCATTAAGCTCAGGGAAGTCAAAAGCCCGCTAAGATATAGTTTGACTCAGCACTTGTCCGATCTAGCATAACCTCGTCGAGATATAGCTCAACTCAATACAAGCTAGTCGCAACCAACTTTGACAATTGTTCGACAAATCACAGATAAGCTCAAATCTCGGATATTTCAGAATGGATGAGATTAACAACAATAATAGCGTGATCTTAGTGCTCAATCACGGAAATATCAGAGTTGCAATTTGAATTTGATTGCAATCTTGATATTTTTTCTTTTTCTTTGGTTACAAACTTGTATCTAAACCCCCTCCGACAATGAGAGAAGGGTTAGCAAATTATTCTAGGCAAGCTTATTGTTATTCCTGTAATCCACAAAAAGCAATAAGATAATAGTGGATGTAGGGTCAAGTTCTAACTTGTCGAACCACTTTAAAAGTCGTTTGAGTTTTTTACTTTAAACGCATTATTCATTACTTTGCTGGTTTTCATTAAATCATACACATATTGGTTCCGATCCCATCAAGGTCAATCAGATTGTTCGGGTTGGTGCGATTTTCGTATCAATAGGTAAATAACTCAAACGAATAATTAAAAAAAAAAAAAATTAAGTAACGAAACAAGTGCATGAGAACCTAGGTAATTTAGCCGGAAAAAAGTTATGTTATGACTGACATTAATTAGTTAAGTGGTGATCCATCTAGTGACAATCGTATATATAAATTCTCGTTGTCATACGTACATCAAGATTCCTCTTCAAATTGAATTTATTTAAGCAATCCTAAACGCAAGATTCCTTTGGAGGATACATTATATACAATGTAGAATCGAGGTTGGCGATCCTTGTGATCGGCCACCTCAGCATAAACAAACACACTTTAGAGAGAAAACACAAACTTACAGCAAGTAATCTAAACTGCAGCAACTAACTCGCTGAATAGCAGAACAAGCGAGAAATCCCTGCTCTTGATAGAAAAATGGGCAACTCGTTTTTCTTCTTCTTGAAATTGAACGTTGCTGTTTTAGTCTTTACAACTAACGGACTTAATAACAGAAACTACCTTCTGTTAGTAGCTTTAATAGCTTATGTTATTTTTCATTATAAAACGCTGTGTATAGGTCTTATACCTTATACTAAAGACCAACAGAATTTACTCTTCATTCTTCACTCACACACACACACACACACACACTGTATATATAAAAGATTATCCTTAAATGATCACCTGTTAGCTAGGGTCAAGTTCAATTTAAAATGAAACGGATGGAGGAAAGGCATGTTACCTATTTAATTAACAATCGCTAACCCAAGATTTAAAAAATATTATATTTAAGAGAAAACTATAAAATATTTTTAACTTTTATTATTAATTTTTAATAAAGTTCATAGCCTTTTTAAGTTATGCTACGATACGGTTGAGAGTCTTGAGACCATACGTAATATCCTATCCTGAAACTTAAACTAGATCATATATTTTATATGAATTATCTTTTATTTAATTTTTATGATCAAATCAAAATATGTTATTCTTAAGATTAAGGCAGCTCGACCTACTGAGATTGGTTTAGCCTTGCAAAAATTTTGTTGGTGGATTAGAGAATTGCACTAGATTTAGCAAAAGAAAACCTCTTCGATCTTCAATTATTTTCTCTGACTTTCACAAAACGGATTTAATGAAATGATTAATGGTTTAATAAATAATATTGGTTTAAGAGATGATTATGGTAAATAATTAAACACATAAACATATATAAAATGTGAATAGCAAGACTTTATTATAAAATATTAAAACGACAAGCTTTCAAATGCAGAATAATTAATTAATCTAATACATCTATTTCTAATGCATGACAGAAGAAATGGTTTGTATAAAAGTGAGCAGCAAGATTAAAGCAGCTGCAACAGTTGCTGTACCTCTCCAAAGATCACTGAAATACACACTTTTCAATTTTGTCGAGGTATGGTTCCAAGAACTATCATAGTGTACTTTCAGTTGGTTAGAAATCCCTTGGTAATGAACTCTATATAAAAGAATGTTTGTGCAAAGCTTGTTAAACAAACTTACTGTCGCCGTACTGTCGCCCATACAATTGCAAATAATTCCCTCCTTTATAAGCAAATCCAAATCGCTTTTGGTATCTATAAGAGAGTCTAGTAGTTCAACATAATCACACACGAGAGTCTCATAATCATCGTGACATTGCTCCAAAACCATTATGTTTCGAAGTATAGTTTCTGTCCCGTCTTGAACTTTTAACTGTGGTATTTCCAACTCGTCTCTTTCAAATTTTATGTCAAGCAAGCTTCTCCTTGGCTCATCAACACGTTTGAATTTCACTCCTGATTCACGTAGCTTCGCGGCACTAGGCAAATCAACATCATCAAGTCGATGTAACTGCTGTGACGTCTGTTCAAGGTGTCCTTCCACTAGAGCACCACTTAACTGCTGTGACGTCTGTTCAAGGTGTCCTTCCACTAGAGCAATTCTTTGCAAATCGGTGAAATGTTTAAAGTTTGTTTCCTCAGCTACAGGAGTACTATTAAACAAATGATCCACGAAGAAATGAAAACAAAGACCACTGAAGGAAGTACTAGGGCTACCGGTAATTAACTCGTATAAATTCTCAAGTAAAAAATATGGAAGTTGATTTTCCAGTAATAGCAAGTCCAACGTTAAAGCAATTTTTTGTGCTGGTATACTTAACAAAGAGTCGCTAGCATCATTACCATTCCTCCGGATGAGCTCTATGATAAAAATAGCATCACGTAGAATCATCTTTACATACTCATGACTCTCAAGCTTACAGGTCTCTGCATAACTATTTCGTATACGTTTCTCATTGTATTTGACAAAGGCTAAAACTTGCTCACATTTCTCATCAGTTGTTCGTCTGGAAAACTCTCTTACGTATCTCCCTTTTTGCTTTTCCGTGAATTCTAATTCTTCTTTACCATAGTGAAAAGGGCCTATTGAAACTATTTGAGGAGTGTAGGCTTCTTCGTTCACTTTACGAATATGTTTAGGGACTCTATAAATACAACACAGATCAGGATCAAGCTCAAAGTCTCCTGGAATGTCAATTAGCCAATCTTTGCACCGATCCCACTGGAACTTTCCGCTACTGGAAGAACACATTGCCATGTTTCTGTTGTAACAAATCATAGTTAATAATATAACAGGCAATGATAAAATTAAACCTCAAACAAAGATCATTTTGTATGTGATATTAATATTAATTAGATTAGATAGATAGATAGATTATTTGAGATAAATAATAGGAATTAATTTAAGCTCGCTTACACATTCTAATTACTCTAAACCCCCTGATTCTTTCATCAGTTGTAACAGGATAAAGGGTAAAAGAGTAAATGCGTCTTCTAAATTTTTTATAATTATTAAGGGTCAATGATTTACCCCCCTTCAAAGTCCATAAACTTGCTTAGACCCCAAAAACCCTAGACACTACCACATGGGCTGGAAAAATATGGGAGTTGACTATTTTCACTATAGACAATTGTGATTAATTCCAATCATATCTTGAACTTCACTATTTCACTATAAAATTTGTCAACAACTCATTCTCAAATAAAACAAATTAAATAGAAATTTAAAAAATTATTTAATAATACATACCTTAACCTAAAAAAAAAAAAAATATATATATATATTTAAATAAAGAGAATTAAAAAATTTAAGAATAATAAAAAAAATTAAAAACCTCAAAAAAAAAAGGCTAAAATCTAAAAAAATCTGCCAACATTGGCCTCGATCGCTACGACTGCTTTGTTTTCACTTTTTTTTTTTTTTTCTAAATTTACATTAACTTTTACTTGCTAAAAAGTTTTCTAAAGTTTTAGATTATTTTATCTTTAATTTTTTAGATATTTCTATTTTTTTTATTATTTCATATTTTCTTATTTTGAAATTTTCAAAAAATTTAGGGCTATTGGATATAGATTCAAAGTGGGTGGCAGGGTGGGTTTGGGATTGATAGGCACGACATATGAGGGCATTAAAGTCATTTGTCCTCATTTGGTTAAAACTAACCAAAGAGTCCTAACACCAGTGGTTCAGAGTAATTACTTGTACTTAAGAGGGCTTGTAGATTTAGGAAAAAATTGGGGGGTTTAATATAATTCCTATATACTACTTAATTACCATGTCATTATACAAGTAATAAGAGTATATCACATCATTTTGAATTAAAAATAAATTAAAAAAAAAAAAACTCGCCAAATTCTTCAAATAATAATATAATTATGCACAAAATGATCATAAAGTATCATCAAGGGCATCAGCCACTGTTAATTACTAAAGGGTATAATTGAAATTGAATGAACAAGGAAGACTTGGGCTAAGTCTTTTACCCACTGTCCAGGCCTTGAGCGAAGGAGCTAAAAAGACGAACTGTGTTTGTCAACCAATAATTATGGAGCAACATTACACTTATAAACAAATCTTACAAAGATTTGCATACAAAATCACATGATAAAAAATAAATGAAAGTGTGAAACCCTAAACTCATTATATTCACTATTCTATTCATTTCTTAACACATAATTTTGTATAAAAATCATTATAAGATTTCGTTATAATTAAGTATAATATTATTGATAATTATATATTAAACGCTCATACAGTTAGCTGTCTTACATGAACAATAATTTATAGGTGAGATCAACTGTTCAAGGTGCCCTTATAAATATGTCTAACAAAAATGCTATATGCATCGAAAGATAGTACCGAACATTTGCACCGAAATATGTGGCAATTAACTTAGATGTCGCTACGTAGGATGATAGAACACTAACGTAAATGGACGGCTGTCCAACGGTTTCGGACGGTTGTCCATACTTCCTGGATGACCGTTCATAATGGAATGGATGAGGGTCCATAAAAAGTATATTAAAAAAAAAAAAAAAAAAAAAACAATGGACTCCTGTCCAAATTCTAGGGACGGGTGCCCAAAAAGCACACTAGATGGACGGCTGTCTATCTACTGTGGACGATCATCCATCTTACAAGGACGACCATCAGCATGAGATGGACTAGCGTCCATCGTTTAGTTTTTAAATTTTAACACTAAATGGACGCCAATGCATCTATTGTGGATGGCTATCAATGCTAGATGGATTGCCGCCCATCTAATTTTTTTTTTTTTTTTTTAAAAAAAAATTTAACACTAAATGGACACCAGTCCGTGGACGGCCGTCCCTTTTATAGGGACGACCGTCCACATTAGATGGACAGTCTAGTATGCTTATTTGGATGGCCGTCTCTATTAAAGTGATGTCCGTCCCTAGTATTTGGACGGTGATTTATTGATTTTTAGTTTATTTTTAAATATTTGTTATGGATCGTCGTCCATTCCTGAATGAATGACCGTCCACGAAGTATGGACAGCCGTCTAAAAATGTTGGATGGTCGTCTATTTACGAAAGTTTTCTATCGTGTCCTACGTGATGATGTCTGAGTCAGAGGTCAAGTATTTCAGTGTAAATTTACGATACTCATTTCCGGTGTCTGTAGCATCGTTGTATGTCTAATATTAGATACACTTAAAAAAGAGACTGTGAGAGAAATTATCCAAAAATAATGTGAAACTAAAACCCAACCAGCTAAAGAAGGAAAAGAGAGAGAGAGAAACAGGGTGAAAGAGTTACCTCTTTGGGTAGCTGAGGTTGGGATGCAATACGCGAAAAGGAAAATTCAGAAAGAAAGTTGTAAGTGGAGTGTGGAGAAGAAAATTAAGCTGAAGTACTCTCAAAGAAAAAGGGCTATGATATTTATACATGAAGAATGACCTAAGTCAAGAAACTGTGAAACACCTCCACAGTAAAATAAAAAAACAAAAAAAACCGAAGCCTTTACTTATTAGTTTTAATAAAAATAAAAAGGCCTAAAAGTTTTTAAAATAAAATACGTATTTATTAGAAGATACTGAAATTGTGGGCCTCAAGAAAAGTCGGCCCCAAAATCTGAGAACCATTAATTATAGTACGGATGTCTTAAATAGAAGCAGCTAGATGATGATATTGGTGAGTGTGGGCTAATAGCTAGTAATAAGCAAGAAAAATCCAAACATCGTACACCTCCTCAAATCGATGAGTGGGAGCCATTGATCAAAACAAGAAAAACGACATGTGATCAATAATTTTTAAAATATTTTTAATTAATTTTCTACATCAATAATGCTATTACCTTAACGATTATCTTAGTTTTTAATTAATTTTCTACATTGTTGATGCTCGTTTTTAGCACCAACAAATTATCACGTGCGTAACGTTGATTGGCTGTTAAATACACGTGAAAATTGAATATATCAAGCGAAATAAATGCAAAGGGAGTTTTTTAAGTGGTTCGGATGCTAAGGTAGCAAGTCCTACGTCCACTGATTTGTATTGATATTAGTGTGGGTCAGGTCGCCACTGCGGACTGACTTACAAAAGAGTTGGAAAAAGTAAAATATGTTTACAGGAGAAAGAGAGTTTTTCTCTATACGAAAAATGGCCGAATCCCCTTAATGAAGGGGTCTTCTTCATTTTATATCAAACTGAAGCGTGTAGTCATCATTAAATCCATGGTTTGGTGCGATTGTCAGGATATAATCCGGCTTTATGTCCCATTGCTCTCTTCCCAAGCTGACTTAGCACGATTTATTGCAGGGAAATGGACGCGTGTAAGCTCCATATCATTTGGCAGGCCTGACGTGTGCGTGTTGCTCTGACGGGAGCAAGTCACCCTTCACGTGACTCTCCCACGTCAGTCCTTTAGTTTCCCAGGCCATAACATACATCAATAATGGCTCCACCTCCTCCGTTTGAAACACAGGGCTTATATATATTTCTTACGACACAAACAATCTAGAATATTACGTTATTGTGGTAAGTGGAGTGTGGATAGAAAAATTAAGCTGAAGTACTCTCAAAGAAAAGAGGGCTATGATATTTATACATGAAGAATGACCTGACGTCAAGAAACTGTAAAACACCTCTACAGTCAAAAACGGAAGCCTTTACATAGTAGTTTTGTTGATTAAACAAATTGTACAATTTAGAAAATCTAAGTTCTAAAGTAATCAAAACATTCACAGCAAAATAGAGATATAAAGAAAAATAAGAGCGTAAATAATAAAGAACATACACACAGATTTATAGTAGTGCGGTAATCAGATTGATTACCTACATCTACTTTTCAAGAAAATAGAAAAATATACACTATGAAGTGAAATCTTACAAAGTTTGTGAGTCAGTTCCTCTGTAAATCACCCTAGATTGCTCCCATGTGTCTCACACCTCTCACACATAAAAATACATAGAATTAATCATAATTTATACCGGAGGAAAAGGAATAAAATCATATACAAACAAAACTCATCACCATCGTTGATCTCATCCTACGAATATCAAGGCTCCACCTTGATGATTCCCTCAACAACTTTCTCTCTTTATAACAAGAAGAGAACAATCCAAAGAGCACAATGAAAGTGTCGAGATAACGCACAACAAATATCTCAAAATGAAATTACAAAATTGTCCATTTTTTTTCTTCTAAATTGCCTTTGATCAAAGTTTAAAACTTTGACTCCACGTAAGCATAAATCAATACCACATTAGCACAAGTTTTAATAAATAAAAACCTCTTATTCAACGTGTATCACAAGGTTAAAAACTTTTAGTTTTTTTATTTTAATTTTTAACTTGTTAACGTAAAGGTTTGTTTCACTTGGGATTTGCAATTACTATACATGTGAATCTTTACTTTTAAAGATATTATATATAAAAAAAAATCACATATTTATTTTATTATTATTTTTGTTTTAAGTAAACAATGTACTCAAATTTATTTTAGAGTCTAACTAATTTTTAAGGATATAAAATACCCTACAAACCTAATAAATTAAAATAATTACATAAATTATATGATAAATCTCTCTCGTGACTAAAACTCAAAAGTTTCAAGATACAACTAACTCCAAGGGTTTGCCATCCGGAGTTATTTTTTATTTTATTATTACAAATCATCATACATCACATTTTCTCTTCTTCCCAGACATTTCTTTCTAAAATTTTAAATTAAAAACATTATTCTAGAAAAAGTTCAATTTATATTACAGGGACTCCAACTTCAATTGTCTTCAT